GGAATCGGCCTGGTCTGGCGCTCTCGGAGGGTTGAATGCGTGAAAAAGACGTGGTTTTCTCTATTTCTTGAGGGTTTCAGACCCGCCGTTAGTTCCGTTGTGGCGGAATCGGCCTTGTCGGGCGCTCTCGAGGGTGGAATGCGTGAAAAAGACGTGAAAAAGATTCTCTGTTTCTTGAGGGTTTCACACCTGCCGTTAGTTGCGCTGTGGCGGAATCGGCCTTCATACCCCCCAACCATATCCTCAGAAACTCTATCCAACAAACACGCATATATGTGACCCTTTTCTTCTCCTTTCTTCATACCATTCCCTCCCCGTCACCTCTTCACCACCTCGACGCTTCTTCAGAGCTATAATTCAGCCGAGTCTTCTGCCTTTCTCCAAAACCTTTCCGTCCCTCCCGGTCCGGCCTCTATGCTCTTGTGTACCTCATGCCACCACCGACGTAGGCGGCCACAATTCTAAATATTCCAACACTGTGCAGAGGCACTCACATCTTTTTCCCTTGGGCTCCTATTCCTCCTTCCCGCGAAACATAGACACTAATGCAACTCTCTTGCTGACGCATCTCCCCGGGTCGGCGGCAGGGGCGGCAGCCCTTAATCCGGGCGCCGGCCAGGACGCCCGTGGCATGCCCGGAGGGCCTTCGGTGGTAACCGAAGGTTATAGACGGTCGCGCCGGCTGCCGCCGACCCTCGTCACGAAAACGGGGGGACCCCGTCGTCACTACCGGGTCACTGAAGCCCCTGTAATTTACAGTGTATCGTGTGTGTGAGGTATAAAAAACACTGTTTTTACAGGGTTTCGGGCCCCTCGGCAGCCGAGAATTTCAGCTTGGCGATGTCAAAAAACGTAGGTTTTTCCAGTGTTTTTGCTTGGCGGGAAGGAAAAGCCGTAAAAAGTTGTATCGGAAGATTTTTTCAACATAAATTGCCTAACATATCCCCAACATAGGCCCAAGATAGCCAACATATCCCCAACATATGCCCAACATAGCCTCCAAGATGGCTCAACATAGAGCCAACATAGGCCAACATGGGGCCAACATACGCTAACATAGGCCCAACATAGGCCCAACCTAGGCCAACATAGGCCAACATACGCCTAACATAGGCCAACATAGGCTCCACATGGGCCCAAGATGTGCCCAACATAGACCACATGGGCCCAACTTGGCCCAACCTAGGGCGAAGATGCGCGCCAGATAGCTTAACTTTGCTCAATATAGGCCCCACCAAGGCCAACATAAGCGCGACATACGCCCCACAGACCCAAGTGGGCCGGCGCCCGGCTGTTAGGCGTAAGCCTTTAAATATATATTTCCGGGAAGCGTGCTCCTCCGCGTTGCTGTAGGATTGAGAGGTAGGAACCTGTACAAGTGGACGAGATACGGACGAGACACACAATTGTCAGGCAGTCTTGGGATACAACAGTGTCGTTTGCAATCCAACAAAAGGAACTGAATAGTTCTCACAATCGATCGCTGACTTCAGTTTTGACTGCCTCTGCATCACCAGACAGCAACATCGTGGCCTCGGGAAGGGGCTCTGAATTGATTGATGTGCTGTGCGTGTTGCGTGTATCACACTATGTCATGTGACAGTGACATGTGTGTCTGCATTTGTGTGTCTGTCTGTCTCTCTCTCTCTCTCTCTCTCTCTTGCATCGGGTCACCTTGCCACAGCTGTGGCAGGGGCCGCAGAAGAAACAGCCAAATAAAATGAAACAAATGGGTGCATATGATCAAAGCATGAATGTATTGTTGATGTTCTTGGATGCTCATAGCCCTGTTTCTCACAGCCCTGGTTCTGCTAAAATCGAATAACAGTCCAACAGAATAACATCATTTCAGAAACACTGCATGCGGCTTCTCAAAGTTCCGAGCAGGAGATAGTGGCAGCGGTTCGGCCTAGAAATCAGGCAAGTGACAAGTTGAAAACGGTTGAACGGACATCCTGGACAATTTGTGGCGTTGCCACTCTTCAGCAATCAACGATCAACATGTCGAGCCTCAAAGGCTCCAAAGCCCTCCGGCGGTGCAATGGCGGACCGCCGCGGGGTGGGCATCGCCTGGCAACGACGCTGGAGTTCCACGGCATGATGTACGTCCAGCTTCGATGGGAAATGGGAAATGGCCAGACACTGGGGTGGCTTGAAAAGATTTCATGAAACACATCTCAACAGATGTGGGCATGAGTCATGAGTCAAAAGATACAAGTAGAAGCAAGTACAGTAGAATCCAAAACCATGGTCCATATTGTCTTTTTTGGATCTTTGTAGTGGTCAACCCGGCACTGGCATTCCGAGGCATAAACTCTCTCTTGGTCTTCGTTGGGGTAGAAGGAACTCTTCGGGTTGGGCTCCGTCTTTGCTATAAATGATGTCAATGTGGTAGTTAAAGCGCTTCCTATCAAAGAATTGGACAAGGCGGTCTGGTCCCTGCCTATCAGAAACCGGCAGAAACCGATGCCCAGAGTCTTAGAAAAGATTGGTTCGGTTTGGGGCTCCGTGTCAATATACGAGGCTTTTCTCCACAAAGCCACGGTCACCATTGTTACCAACACCCGCTAATAACCGCCAAGGCCGAACGGCATGGTGGTGGCGCTAACCGCCAATTGCGCAAGCATATTGGCGGTGGGTCAACCAACTGCGCTCCAACGTCCTGGCAGCGACAATTCCGGCCAGCTCCTGCCTCTCGGGGCTCGATGGGCTGCATCACCTGTTCACACGTACGATTGCTCGCTAGCCGCTTGCCGCCGCATCACTTCTCTGCTTCTCAGCTCCAAACCACATTCGATTGGTACGGTCGCGTGGCCTGAGCAGCATGGTCAATCAGGAACATAGATGGGAATCACAAAGAATGGTGCTTGGCCTCCTGACTGGGCTTGCGATGGTATGTGCCCCTTGGGCCTCTGGTGCCCCATCCAAGGGCCCAAGCAAGGAGGCCTCGGCATCCAATGGCGTTATATACTCATCAGGAAAAACATAGAAAAACTCTCCAGGAGGGATCGACAAAGGGCGTCCAAGGTCAAAAAAATGTATTTACTATAAGATAGAATATACACATATTACTCATATCGGTTCAGGAGTACTATCAAGATTTAGGCAACTGGTGTGGATACAGATACCACAAGCACATGGCACAAATAATCTCTTTAAGCTCGGCACCAAGGGCGGAAGATGTTGTCGGCGCCCCTGGTTTGGCTGATGGTTTGTTGAGCGACAGGGGTTCTGCCTTCTGGGAGGGCCGTTGATTTGCTGGGTGCCACATGGCAAAAGGAACACCGAGGAGGAAACTCCGTTCCGACAGATTCTGACCATCCAGGCTGAACATGTCTCTCTCTCTCTCTCTCTCTCGTCCACCTGGTCGTCATCGTGCAGCAAAGAGGCCTGAGAGCCCCACCAGCCCCATGTTGCCAGGTCAATGGGCGGTCAATAGTAGCGTCCTTGTTACTACTAGTAAGGCACTTGTTACTACTAGTAAGGCACTTGTTACTACTGGCGTGGCACTTGTTACTACTAGCGTGGCACTTGTTACTACTAGTGGCTCAAACATCAGTCACCAAGTTGTTGATGTTGCCAGGTCAATGGGCGGTCATTGACAAAATCTTTTACACCAATCAGGGAGCCCGGCCAACGATGGTTGCTGCGGTGGATGGTGTCGGACTCCCTGAAGTGAGCATCTTGACGTCAACAGTCAACATACAGATGTCAGCTCCAACTGCTTGGAAGACGAAAATATGGAAGGGTCAAGTTTGGAAATGATTTGAACTGATTCATGTTTTCCAGCTTTCCTTTCAGACTTTAAACTTTCACAAGTTCATACTATGCGCATCCCAGCGTCCATGACGAATCCATGATGCTACTATGATGTTCCCATGCACAGACTTACACCCCAAATGACCAGAACGGGCAGCGAGGACTCCACGACAGGCGAATGGCTGGACCACCGGGCTGGGGAGCTCAAGGGTGGCTGTGGAGTCGGCACCTGCACCCCAAGCAGCTGATGATTCGCAAGGAAGCTTCTAGTTACAAAGCTTTATTGTTACTAGTAGCGATGGCCTCCAACCTAATAGCGATGGCCTCCACCTAGTAGCTTCTAGTTAGGTACGTCGCTGCATAGCTGTTACGTGGCGCTTCTCACTAGAAAGGATTGAGTCGGGTTAGCAAAAGGCTGTCCACAGGGCAAACAGCGAGAGGTTCAATGATGAAGGTGAGTTCTCAACAGAAAAAAGAGAGAGAGAGGGAGAGAGAGAAGGGCCACCGGGGAGGGTTGTCAAGGCCAAATGAGATTCTGAGATGAGATGTCAGGTCAGTATGCCAATGTACAGAGGTTAGATCATTTACGAGAGACTTTGGACTACACAACTGCATGCAAAAACCTATACTGCGTGCACACGTACCACGAGGTTTGCAAAAGAACAAGTAAATTCTCACAACCTACGAAATGCCCAGTCAAATGCAAGAGCCTCTGCCCAAGTCAGTAATCAACCCAGTCCAGTGGGACATCCTTTAGGCTGCTCAGGTTCCAAGGCGGCCAATATATATATAATGTATTATAATGTATGCCCTAGGCCCTAGAAATCCCTAGAATATGTATATTGTGTGCATTGTGCATCCCTATATGTGGTTTCCAAAATCTACTTATATATGTGTTGATTTGCACAAATGCATCTACTTCTTTGGATGTCATTACAGACTGGGCCACGGCCTCCGATCCGCCGTCAAATGTCGTCGCAGGTGATGCCTCAGGGACCACAAACACAGACCGTCATCCCTCTTGCAGCTCTCTGCCTAAACCGCACCAGCTGACAAACAACTAGTACCCAGCTGATTTCCATGTCACCATGTCACATGCCTCCTGTTTTTGGACGTGTTTGCACCTAGGGCCTCCAACCAACGGTCGCCGGGATGGCACCTGCAATTCCCACAATGGCAGCGCCCAGGTGACCCCATGGTCGCCAGCCCAGGCCAGCCCGAGGTGTGATCTAACATGATCTAACATGATCTAACCATATCTAACCCTGCCCCCTCTGTGCCAAAGGCTCGGCTCAGCTGGGCCTCTGGAAACTCCAGCGGTGGAAGCAGGGAGGCCTTGATCGAAGGCGCCAATAAGAGATTGGCCACTTGTAAGTGTCCAGTTCGCTTGTGGGGCTGTTTGACTAGAATTTCTACATGGTTTCTTAGAACAAGATTCTCACATAACTGGGTCTCCCCACCAAAGATGGCACCCTACTGTGGCGTGAGGAAGTGCTGGCCTGCACATACAATATCACCATGTCGCATGTGACAGAATCACTCGTTTCTGTCTTGTTGTTGTGCCTGGTCATGGAAGCTGTCACCATGTCCGGGGAGCGCCTTGAAGAAAACTCAAACTGCCATTAGGAACAAGAAGCTACTAGGGGCTCCTAGCCTTACTACTAGGACAAGGACACTACTAGGGGCTCCTGGCATCGCTACTAGGAACAAGAAGCTACTAGAAACCAAATGAATAGTGCGAGCCATCCTAGCTACCTCTCCCTACTAGCGCTTCCTCTAGCTATCCTAGCTACCTCTAGCTACCGGCCTACCCCCCCCCCAAACAAAAAGTTAATGAAATCACAGAGATCTTTCTTCGAAGTTGGTCGCTATCCCTCGGCTCGCTCGGCTCGCGGCAGGCACCACTCGGCCAGTGGGCAGGGGAGCCACCTTTCAGCGGTGCATTGCTGATGTCTGACTCTTCGGTGCGGCCATGATTCTCGAGTTCTCTTTGAAGCGCCCAAGACGTGAGCTTTTGATAGGCAAAAAGAGATAGAAAATGATAAAAGTAGTTCTCCAATGTTACCCAGGGAGCTGTCTGAGAGGAAATCCTCTGTTCGGTTCTAACACATGCCGCAACACTCACCCAACGCCCTCGTGTGGTGAAGCAAGCCTGCTCTTCATGCACACCGAGCGACGCCTTGGACAAAAGCTTTGCTCATGCCATGCTTGATTCTGCTGGACGCAAAAAGCGTGTCCTTGCTGCGTTGATTTCCTCAAACTCTCATGGTTAGCCGCTTAGCCTCATCCTCATGGTTGGCCCTAGTCTATTCAACCCACGGGTCAAAAGGAACTGCTTGTCTGGTCGTGACCTGGTTTGACTGGCTCAGTCGGGGTGGTTTCGAGATTGGCTTCAGTGCAGCTTCGGCTTCCCGCCATCAGGGCGCGGGAGAGTGGCGTTCGACCAGCCTGAGGTCGGATGCACGATCAATTGGGGGCAGGTCAGGTCCCTATTCCGTCGTTGCTGTCTTTGCCATTTGGACTTAAAGTGTGTCACTGAATGTTCAATTGACAGAAACGTTGCGAATGGTATCAAGCTCAAGACTGGCGAGCTGAGCGTTGGAGAAGGAGCAAAGGCCTCTGTTGGCCAAATTCCACAAGCACTGCTCCGCCAACTTGGTCAATTGCAGCTACATTTGCTATAGGCTATATATCTTGAGGGAGCACTGGGGGCAGGACTGGTGCTCTGCTCCGAGCCTCAGTTTCACAATGCAAGTTGAGCAAGCCTGAAAGTATGTTGTGATGTTGTGATTTATTCATCAACTATACTATATAGTAGGTCTTTGAAACTTCTTAGTAACAAGAAGCTACTGTACTAGGTTGGAGGTAGGGTGGAGGCCATTACTACTAGTAACAAGAAGCTTTTAGTAGGTCTTTGACGGCAATGTGAATCAACCTCAGGGCAATGTGAATCTCAGGCAGCTTCGACGGCTGGAGTCGATTCATGAGGTGACAAAGTATCCACCTGCCAGCCAGCAACGTCTCAAGAAAAGGCCAGCAGGCTAATTGATGCCGCAACGGTTCAAATGCCCCCCAGAACAAGAACTCCTTTGTTTTTCACCCTTTAACCCGTTAGTATTCAAGAGTCGAGAGCTTTAGGTCTCCACAGTACTTCACAACCTCTGTGCCATTGTGAGCCAGTGTGACAACGCTAAGAAAAATGTTTCTTTCAAACCCTGAATAACTTCCCTACGGTTTTTCTTTCAGCCATACCAGAAAGATCCAGAAAGCAATTCCAAAAGCTCCAATCGCACCACCTTCTTTGCAGCCAGGCCACCCCTACGACCCCTGGCGATGGTGGTGGGCGGCTCGGTCCCGCATGGCCATGGCCCACGCGCCGGGCACGACGCTCTGCTGGCTGGGGGCGCTCCAGGCCGAACCTCGGGAATTTGCCATAGGGCCATGCTGCCCTTGCTTAGCATGCACGAGCAACAAACAACAAACAAGCCGCGCTCCAACATCACATCAGAATCTTGAGCTCAACTGCACCCCCTTACTGGCCGAGCTTGTCTGACGGGGGTCTTCTACGCTCTAAATGGTGCTCACACACTAACCAATCAGCTTGCTGCCACACCTGGACAATTCTCATACCTTCTTGCAACCTGAGGAACACCATGAAGAGGTCTGCCACCTTCTCATCAGCGTCGTCATGGCCCACCCGCTGAAACAGCCTAACAGAGTCAGGAGCAACAAGCCGATGAGTTCCCCAAGGAAAATGAAAAGACTAAACTCAGGATGGATGCTGGAGACCCACATATATTTATATATAGTTATTAGAGTCCTCCACCGTCACAAATCCTGTATGGAGATGAGTGTTCATTCCTTCCTAGCTGTCTTAGCTTCAATTGCGCAGCTCTGACTGCTCGCCTTGAAAGGATGCTTGCAGTGATAGCGGACGGTTTCAGTCCCTTGTTCACCATTTCCGCAAAAAGCCCGCAGCCTCAGAGAGCAGCTGAGGCTGAGGCATCTAAAATCTAGATTGATCTTTTTTCCGAGCCATCCCTGCCTGCTTTCCAATCATCAGCCTTTACACAGCCTGCATCCAAGTTTCTGCACAAAATGGGGAACAGTGAGCAAGCAGTAAAGCCTAGTAAGGTGTTTTTTGTCCAGCGATTTTGGCACAATTGTTACAGGCCATCAAGATCATCAAGGCGCAAACCATTTTTCCCTCGCACATCTCTTCCCTCAGGAGCTTAATTGCAGCTTAATTGGCTTAATTGGCTCCTCGATGTGATAATGCCCCAGAGCACCTGCGGCTCACAACCTGTACGTGTCAAAGCGCAGCACCTGAGTGCATGCAGCTTCCCGGAGCAGCTCCGGGTCAAAGTCCTGACCCAAAACAATGCTCTTCGAGATGCATGTCGCGGCGTTTGCCTTCCTCGGCTTCCTTTTCAACCAACGACCTCCTGCAGCTTCTACAAGCAGTTTGAGCTCTTCCTTCTCATTTGCATCCAGCTGGAGCTCTGCTACAGCATACACTGACTTTCCTTTCAGCAATCTTTCCGAGCGTGCACGTTGCACGGATGCTTGCAAGGAGAAGGACTTCAGCTCGCGCTTCGTGGCAAAACTTGACTCGGCTGCTTGGTCCTGCAGGAGGAAGGGCGTCTCATCAATCAGCTCGCCAGCTTTCAAACACTCATCAACATACGCAGGGGCGACAACGGGAAGTCCCGCGCAAACCCCACACATCAACTTGGTGGTCCTCTTGAATTCTTTGGCAATTACATGGGTCACCTTTGAAGACCAGCTCTCGAGCACAGGAATTCCAAGAGTTCTCTTGAGTCTTTCTCGTCTGGCAGCGTCCAAGACAAGTCCGGTGCAAACAAAGTTGGCCTTTCTTCGCCGCCCAAGACTCCTCTGGGAAATCTTGGGCGGTGCCTTGGTCTTCGGGACCTTTGGGGTCTTTCCAATCACCGACACGAACGGATTTGGCTTCGGGGGCGGTTGCTTGCCATTCAACCGTCTCCGAACTGGCAGGTCCTCATCCGGCACCTCCAGCACCGTAAACGTCGTGCTCCTCACTGGGGTGGCCACAAGTTCTGGACACTCTGAGCCATCTGAGCCTAGTCTCTGCTTCTTCTTTGGTCGACTTGGGACTTCTGGTGGTGCCATCTCAGTTAAGGTTTCCACTGGCTCTCTGGGAGGCACATCAGTCATCTCAGGGCCAAAATCTGGATATGCTTGCGTTGCTGCCAGCTCTGGCACAGGCCCAGCTGCCTCTGGCACGCTAGCAGCCTCTGGCACATCCAGCTCCAAACCCACATCCTCATACTGAAGGGTGTCTAAGTTGTCATTGTCCATTCCATCCAGGTAGAGCTGGGTTCCCAAGAACTCCACGCGGTCTGGCTCTGCTGGCTCCGGATCTTCGTAGAGTTTGGCTGGCGGATCTATGGCCAACTCGTCACCATAGGCCTGAGTGGCCAGCAACATTGGGTCATCTGGATCCAAAGTCCCCCCATAGAATTGCGTTGCTGGGAAGTCCCCATCGAGATCATACACAGCGGCCGCTGCGCCGCTGGCCATGACCTGAAAAAGTGCCCTGGGCTGGAAGATCTCGGCCCACGGGGTTCACTTCGCCAAAATGGCTACGGACATCAAAAGTGGTTCACAACGATTGGAATGAAACTGGAGAGGTGTCCCACTCTTCTTTAACATCTGTTTAGTCCTTCCAGTGTTCTGGTGATTACTCTCTTTGTTCCCCTCCCTGGCCTTCCATCAAGGTGTTGTAAACTAACTCATCACAGCGGAGCGAATGCTCTTTCATCTCCTGGAACATGCATAGCGCCTCACCGGTGTCTGCAACGGACAAAAATTCGGAAACTGTCAGGTGGAAACTCAGGAGTAACGAGGAGAGGCAAAGGCATTTTCTGTGGCATTCTTGGATTTCACCGTGTCAAAGAGCATCTGCACCTTGAGGAGGTCTCCATTCTGGCAGTAGCCCTTCAGCACCGTTGAGTAGCCTTGGAAGCACATCTCTCTCTCTCTCTCTCTCTGGGGCTTGGCTACCTATCAAGGTGCATCAGGAACACAAATGCAATTCGAACACAGTATATATATATAAGTAAATCTAAATGTGTGTGTACATGTGTGCATGTTTGTGTGTATATATATACATATGTGCCACACAAGCAGAAACTGTCTATACAACCAGTGGCTGATCAGGTCTGGTTCAATATCGTACTCAGTCTGAACCATTTGGTCCAGAATCTCCTCTCAAGGCGAGCAAATCACTTTGCAAAATCCCTGGAGTGCTCACAGGCCTTGCTAATGCTGATCGCGATGCATTTATACAAATGTCCAATGGTAGGGTCAATTGCTTCCTCTTTCTGTTGTCCTTTGAATCCCAGGCCGGCTCCTCTGCAGAGGTAACATCACCGCACTTGACACATGCTTCAAGGATGGAGTTGTAGGTGATGGTATTGTATGGCACCTGAGCAGCGAAGCTACACTGCCAGGCGATGGTGAGCACACCGAAACTTAAAAGTGTGATGTCTGCCAGGGGCAAACAACAATGTCGGTTCTTCAACACATCTTCAAAACGGGAACGCCAGAGTAAATCAGCACAAAAGTCCAAGTTCTGGACTCCTTCATCGGGCATTTCATGGAATAGTTCCAAGGCGTTCTCAAGATCTTTGTGGATCCCAAAGCCTGATGATGCATAACATCACGCTTCCATTCTATGCGTCTGGCACGCAAAGACTTCTCCAGCGCACTGATTCCTTCTCCCCACCTTTGATCATAGTGGTATACAAAATGGTGTTGCGATGCTTGCCCGTCTCGCCTCAACCCACCAACGCAAAAGTCGGCAAACACTCTGCCTGCACATCACTGTCATACCGGGACCCTGCTTGTCCAAGGTGCGCATTCCCTTGAAGACCTCCACCGCCTTCTGAAGGTTGCCGCACTTGACGCAAGCGTCCAGCATGCAGCCATAGGTCACCGAGTTGGCTAGCCCTCGCTGCTCCTGCCACCACATTTGGATTTTCCTGTTGGTGAGAGAAAAAGGTAAACAGTTTCTAAGTGAGTGACACAAACAAATCCTATGACTATGACCCGTGACAGGTCTAACGCTCCTCCATCTCATCCCACGCGGCCAAGACTTTGTCCAAGTCTCCTGCTTGTCCATAAGTCTTCACCAAGATTCCTTACAAAGCGCCAGATGCGAGATATCACACTGCTGAAGTTGAACCTCTGCTGCTCAGTGGCCCAGGGTGATGGGCGATGGTTTCACCTTCAAGTGGCGCATCCAATTGACACATGACTCCAGGCGTTTAAGGTCCTGCAAAGCATGCCGCACCATTCAATTATCTAGTAGCCAAAGGCAGGCAAAGCTAGACGCCTATCCAGCACTGCGATTATACTCCAAAACGGCAAAGGAACCACATCGACCACCAGTGGTGTCTGCAAGTGAGATCCCCTCCTTCAGCCGGCAGCATGTGTCCAATAGGGCGTTGAATAAGACCTCATCCACATCCTGCACAACCCCAGCTACAGTGAAAACCACATCATGGCTATTCATAGCTACTAGGGTCACAGCATCCAAGGATTATCACGGGGCATAGGGAAACTCCGGCCTCCGGCTGCATCTCTATGAATCGCTCCACCAGAGCGATTCCCCGGTATGCCCTGCTGGGATCGAGGTGTCCATCACCCACCGTCTTCATCAACATCCTCGAAACAGTGTACCTCCCCATGTCTAAACGTCGGTTGGCAGGTCGATCCTACTCACCTGAGCATTGGCCTTGCAAACCCGAGTAGAAGACCTGCGGCACGTGGTCTGTGGGCAAATGGTGGCGCACTTGTCTGTAGTCTGCCCTTCAGCATGCATCTGCTCCAGGGCATCCCAGGCCTCATCAACACCTCCATTCCAGGCAACAACAGGTTTGATCTCGGCTGTCTGTTGCGGAGCCTACTTGCATTTCTTCATATTGGCACTGCGATTGAGATGGGGTTCGCAATTTCTCCGCCTTTTCGTCGCATCACCTCCTCCAATATGTTGGCGGTGGCCCTTACGTGTCCGTGGCGCAAGGGGGTAGGCACCTGAGAAGCTTGGACAGCATGTTGGCCTTTGAACCAGCACGCGAACATAAGTTGGCGGATTACATTTTGCTTCAGTGATTCCCCTCGCCTCTCTGACCACCTCAGCACCGTCCTCACACTTCTCCTTGCTGTTGGCAGCACGTCCACGAGTGCGGCCCATGGTTTCAAGGCCTTGCCGGTCAGGCAGTTCAACTTGCCGCCGCCCTTCCAAGCATTCCAGCAACTCTAAAGTCGTTGTAATATTGAAGTCTCTCCGAATGCATGAGCCGACATTGTATCCGCAGGTGCACCAAACTAGGTTTGAGGTACATGAGAAGTGTACCAAGTTTGTTAGGCTTCGGTGCACAAATCGAGTGTGTACCATGTCGGATCGCATACTTTACCGGAGCCCTTTTTTAGAGCAGAAAAAGTTCGTTGCTGGACACACGGGTTATGAGCCCAAACCTTTTTTCGAAGTCCACCCGTGACTGACACGTGGTCAGCACGGTAGTTGGTCCCCATGCCGGCTGCTGCATCGAAGGCGGCGGCGAAGGCAGCTGCTCCGAAGGCTGCCAGCGGCCAGGAAGCCGCTGCTGGCGGGAACGCCAGACGGCAGTGGCACTGGCATGCAGAGCCCGGAGGAAGAGGCAGAGCAGCTGGCGATCGAGGACGCTAAGGATGCAGTGGCAGTCAGACAGACTGCATTGGCAGTGGGACCGCCTGTCTCCTATGGACCAACGAGGAGAGCGGGCAAGGACGGGAAGGGCTAGGGGTCTACGCAGCAGGCAGCGCTGGTGAACCCGTTCTGGTCAGAACGGATGCAGAGTGAGGCCATCCTACGAGCTATGAGGCCAGCATCACTGGGACCCACGGAGGAGACTGGTGCGGCTAGCCGGGTGGAGCCTGAGGATGGCGGCCAGACTTTTGTGGACGTGCAGGAGGTGCTCAGGGCAGTCCTCACTCAGAATGCATCCCTGAAGAAGGAGCTCAACGAGTTGAAGAAGAAGGTGGAGTCGAAGGAGAACAAGGAGGTGAAGAATCCGGTTCCGAGACCACCTACCAGTACACCACCACCTTCACCTCCAAAGGGGCCCCCACCGAAGACTCCGGAACAGCACTTCGAGAGTCAGGCATGGGTCGACTTGGGAAGGTTGCCATGGGAAAGGACTACATCCAGGAGGCCAACGACGTGGCGATCAGGGTATGGAAGCAGGGGCAGAACATCACCACAGCAGGGCCCATCAGGCTGGTTCACCGCTGGAGCAGGCGGCTCATACGGTGTTGAGGCAGTTGGGACAGGGTGGAAATGATGGGTCGTCGTGGATGGGCGAGAACATCCGGTCGGTGGACCTACCCCAATTCGCAGACCTCAAGGAGGGCGACCTTGGAAGCCTAATCTTGGGAGATTGGATTCAGCTGGTGTCACCAACCATGAAGGACCTCTCAACCAACAGTTGGATGTGGTGGGAAGAGGTCATGAGGTCTGCGATGGAAGCCTATCAGGAATGGCTGAGAGCTGAGCCGGTTCAGAAGCTCTATGTTCGACCTCGAGCATTGAATTGGCTGAACGTCGTGGAGGGTGGGCACGACTGGAGCAGAACGCTGTCCCAAGCGGGGTGAAGTCCGAGATCCTCGCGAGCAGGACTACCAGCTCAACTGAGGTGATGTTTGCGCTATTCCGTCGATACCAACCTGGAGGTCTGGCGGAGAGATCGAGGTTGCTGAGACCCCTCGTCGAGCCGAAGACGCCTGGGAATGTCACGGAGCTGCTGGAGATCCTGAAAAGCGCAGCTTGAGACGGGCTCAGGAGCTTGACATCACCACACCAGACGCCACCCTCCTGCTGGGAGCTGTGGACCGCATGTCAGCGCCAGTGGTGAGAGCCTCAAGTCAAGCAGCCTTCCGAGTGAGTTCAACGAGGGCTACGCTGGGGGTGGATGCGACGCCGACGCTGTTGGCAGAGGCGGAGACGCTGGCGCTGGGGGATCCGATGCCGGTTGAGGAGGTGAAGCCGCCTACGGTGAAGGTCAAGGCAATGGCCACGACCCTGGAGGAGAAGATAGATAAGAGTTCAGCCTACAGGGTGAAGAATGAGACGGCAGAGAAAGTGTGTCGCTTCTGGGGCTCTGAGGAGGGGTGCCGGAGGGGAAAGGATTGCAAGTTCAAGCACGACTGGGCTGGCATTGAGAAGAAGGGGAGATGCTTTGGATGCTCTGCTCAAGGGCATGCGAAAAAGGACTGCCCAGTGATGAAGCCGAAGGGTTCTACGCCAGAGAAGCCAGTAGTGAAGGTCGTGAAGGAAAAGAATGCACAGCCTACGAAGGCGGAGAATGCGGAGCCCCTGGCGAAGACTGGGGGGAGCGAGGTTAGCGACTCAGCGGCACCCAATGAAGGGGATCGAGGAGCAGGGACGGCGGGTGATGTCAAGGATCTCTTGAATGAAGCGACTACGCTCCTGAAGAGTCTGAGACCAGCCACATCGATCAAGGCGATCCGTTTGAGCAGCCTCGAAGTCCGTGAAGGAGGACGGCCCCTACTGGACGGTGGGGCGACTCACTGTTTGAGACGAGCAGTGAGCGAAGAGGAGTGGCAGAGAGGCCAGGAGGTCAATGTGGAGCTAGCGGCTGGATCTGCGGTGCTGAGGTTGCTCCCATGGACCAAGACCCTGTTGACCAAGGAGGACGTCCAGGTCATCGTGCCACTTGGAGTGCTGATCTCGCTTGGCTATGAAGCGGTGTGGGAAAAGACTCGCTTCGAGTTGACTGACCCGGCCGGGATCACCCTGGACACGAGGATCGAGAACTCTTGCCCCACGATCAGCGAGGACCTGGCCATCGAGCTCATTCAGGAGATTGAGCGGAGCATGGTGAGAGAACGGGCACGCCTTGCATTTCTGGCCGGTGAGGAGGCGGGATTGGAGGTGAACGATCAAGAGGCAGCCTTTTCCCTCAAGTACCACATCACCTGCTGGAGCGGCTGCTGCCGAAGAAGGGGTGGACAGGAGAAGGGCTTCCGCGGAATCGCCACGAGCGAAGAAGGGTTCGAAAGGCAAAGGAGGTCGTGATCCACCTGTTCAGCGGAGACTCGAAGCAGTTCTGGCAGAGGGAGCTCGAGGCGGAGAACCGGGTGGTGCTGTGCGTGGACACCGTGATCAACCCGGCCATGAACCTCTTGAGGGACGACGTCTACGCCTACTTGCTGGACATCGCCGACAGTGGAACACTGTGCACGTTGTTGGGAGGTCCACCATGCCGGACGATGAGCCGTCTTCGGTATCGACAGCCTGGACCGCCACCATTGAGAGAGAGGGAAGGTCCCTACCGGTTTGGTCTGCCCCAGTTGGACAGGCATCTTCAGAAGAAGGTCGAGGGTGACACGGTCCTCTACTTCAGGCAGCTCTACCTGTACCATCGAGCAGCGATGGCAAGAAAGTCCCAAGTGACACTCTCGGCTCTGGAACAGCCCGAGGACCCCGAGGAGTACGTCAGAGAAGAGGAGAAGAGCCTGCAGCGCTATGCCTCTTACTGGTGCTGGCCGGAGTGGAGAGCTTTTAAGGAGCGATGGAACATGGTGGAGGTCAGTTTCGACCAAGGTCCAATGGGTCACCAGCGGAGGAAACCTGCGCGGCTGGGCACGAACATCCTGAAGCTGACGGAGCTCCAGGGCATTCGGGGCCCGGGGGTGGGAGGCGGAACGGCGCTGGCGGAGGACTTGGCGGAGCGCATCAAGCAGAGTAGAGCATGGTCGGCATGGGCACCCGGCCTCAAGGCCGCACTGGCCGCGAGTATCCGGGAGACTCTCCACAGCCCGGAAGGCATGGTCAAACGAATGGACCTCTTGGCCTGGAAAAAACACCTTCTCAACGGTCACATACCGTATTCCAGAGAATGCAAGTCTTGCGTTGTCGCTGCCTCACGTGGACGTGCTCACAAACGGATTCCACACCCCGACTCGTACACGCTGTCGATACAGCTGGACCTTTCCAGGAGGCGGACGATCAACTTGGTCGGGGCAGGTATCTCCTCATCGGCGTCTACCTGGTTCCGGTCTCGAAGGACGGCCAAACCTTGATCCCGATCAACGAGGATGATGGACTCCCTGGAGCCATTGGGGATGGACCAGAGATCACCACGATGGCGGAGGAACCTACGGAGGAGACGGCGGGTTCGTGGCCGGGCGACGGGGATGATGATGCTTGGCTTGAGAAAGTGGAGAAGGAGACAGACTTCACGGTCAAGCAGATCACCATGACCGAGATCCTGGAGAACCGTGGTGGGCAGGCAGTGGTGGAGGCGATCAGTCGCTTTCACGCGAGGCTGAGTTTTTTGGGTCTCCCTGTCCTACGACTGCACTCAGATCGGGCAGGTGAGTATCAATCTCGAGCCTTCGACCGCTGGTGTCGTGAGAGAAATGTGATGCGCACCTTCACTGATGCCGATAACTTCCGAGGAAATGGAAGAGCAGAATGTGCAGTGGCGCAGGTGAAGAGAGGTGCGAGGACGCTCCTATTAGCTGCCGGGTTGGACGAGAGCTATTGGTGCCACGCCGCTCGACACTGGTCCGAATGCAAGATGAGGAGGCAGTCGATGGGACTGAAGCGGCGAGAGCTGACTCCGTTCGGGCAGCAGGTCTGGGCCAAAAGGAAGCTGTATAGTGATCGGCAGAAATACCTCTCCACTACAAGGACGCAGGTGAGGCAACCTGGCTGAGGAAGATGAGGGTGAGATCACCAATGAACGTTTCCTCAAGGCCCTCACTCTGGAGGTGGAGGCGGTGACGGAGGAGACCAGGAGGGTTGGCCAGTGGGAAGAAGCACAGAAGGCCGTGGAGATTGAGAGGGAGATTGAAGAGCATCCAGCATTCCTGCAAACGAGAATGGTCGGCTTGACTGAGGTCAGGAAGAACATGGCAGAGTGGAAGCCATCCATGGTCGAGGAGTATGGTGCTCTGGTCACCGAATCAGAGGCGGTGGAGCCAATCGACCGTACCCAAATGGAGGAACTCCGGAAGCAGGCAGCCGAGGTCGGGAAGGACTTTGACTTGGTGCCAGCGAAAGCCATCTTCAGCCGGAAGGCCGGTACAGGCCGCCACAAGTGTCGAGGGGTCGCCTGCGGGAACTTCATGCAAGCGAAGAGCAGTGAGTCCACCTTTGCTTCAGGAGCCAGTGGCATTGAAGTGCGGATGCTGATGAAGGTGGCAGCCGTTCATGGATGGGACCTCTCGACCATCGACGTCAAAACAGCATTTCTCAATGCTCCGGTTGATGAGTCAGCGGAAAGAGGCATCGTGATTGTTGAACCACCCCGCATCTTCAAGGAAGCTGAGGTACTTCGACACCCTGCGGAGTACTGGCTGGTGAGAAAGGCCCTTTATGGGCTGGTGACGTCTCCCAAGGATTGGTGTGTGCACCGCGATCAAAAGATCAAGGACTTCAAGTGGGAGATCGAGAAGACCCAGTACAAGGTGGAAAAGACCGCTCAGGACGACGTGTGGGCGATCAAGAGTCTGGTCGAGGGCGACGAGAGATGGCACTTGGCGGGACTATGTGCCACCTATGTCGATGACATCATCATCGCCGGAGAGAAGGCCGCGATCAAGGAGTTCCACCAAAGAATCCAGGAGCACTGGAAGTCGACGTGACTCGGGCTCAAAAAGAAACTGGAGAGCTGCTTTGGGTCGCTGGGAGGACACGCCCTGACATCTGCCTGGCGGTGAGCCTGATGTGTCAATGGGCGACCAAAAGGCCAAAAGGGGTGATCGCCATTGGGGCCCAAGTTCGAGCTTATCTTCGAGAGACTCGGGATGAAGGATTGGTCATCCGGGGAGGTGATGGAGGAAAGGAAGCAGCGAAGGAGGTGCTGGGGGACGTTGAGGTCTACTCAGACGCATCGTACGCCTCGTCCGACCTCAAGAGCGTGACAGGTGTGGTGGTGTGCTATGGAGGGACTCCTATCGCGTGGCATACCACGAGGCAGGCATTCATCACCCTTTCCACGGCGGAGGCTGAGTTGATGGCGATGCTGGAGGGACTGGTGACCATTCGCTCGGCGGGAGCCCTGATGGAGGCGGTGCTTGAGAGAAAGATGAGGATGAAGATGCACTCTGACTCCACGGCAGCCATAGCGATTGCTGCAGGTACGACATCATCGTGGAGGACACGACACCTACGGATCCGAGCCGCTGGGTTAACGGAAGCCCTCAGGTCAAGAGAAGTCTCATTGAGACATGTGGCCGGAGTCGAGTTGGTGGCGGATGGGATGACGAAGCAGCTGACGGGCCAGCATCTCAAGAACTTCAAGGACACCCTGGGATTGGAGAAGGTCCAAGTGATGGAGAAGATGGAGGTCAAGAGGCTGGAGATCGGAAGGAAGAGTCCTGACCCTAGGTTTGCGAGAGGGCTGGGGCTTCTGATTGCAGCAACGAGTATGATCACCCAGGTTGAGGCCAGTGACACCCAGACAGATGGAGGAGGCAGTGAGTGGTGGATTCTGGTTCTCCTCACCGCAGCGATTGCGATCATCGGAGACATCCTGTTCCGGGTGGGCACTGCGGGTGTCAAACGATGGATGGCGCCGAGAGAAGAGCTCAAGGTGAAGCTTCTTCATCCTGACGCACGACTACCAGTCCGCGGTTCGGAGCAGGCGGCCGGTTTGGATCTTCACTCGGTCATTGAGACCATGGTCCCCTCAGGTGACAGCGTCCTGGTGAAGACCGGCTTAGCGATTGAACTTCCTCCAGGAACCTACGGGCGAGTGGCTCCGAGGTCAAGCTTGGCTATTCGGGGGATTGAGACAGGTGCCGGGGTCATCGACCGAGACTTCCGAGGGGAAGTGAAGGTGCTTCTGCGAAACTGGAGCGACGAGGACCTCTTCATCTACAAGGGTGATCGAGTGGCTCAGCTGGTAATCGAAAAGATCATGGAGGTTGGGGTCAACAGCGTCGAGAGCTTGACGGAGACCGTCCGAGGCTCGAGGGGGTTCGGCTACTCGGGGCACGAAGAGCTGTACCCATGGGCGGAACCTGATGATCCTCTTTATCAGCGGCAGGAACTGGGAACCAGAAATCCAGTCGGCCGGATCTCAGTTCGAGCCTTGAGAGTTGGAGGAAAAGGGGGAGGAGCCGCAGAAGATAGAAGCACCCAGACTGACGAAGCTGGAGGGCTGGGACTATCTCACAAACATCATGGACTCCCTGCCGAACCTCAAGTACGTGATTCAGGACTATGGTGCCGAGGAGCCTATGATGCCGAGGCGGAGGAGAGGCGTCGGGCGAATCTTGGACTGGGGATGAGCGCATGGGATCGATCCATGGTTCGACGAGGATTGCACGAGATCCAGGTGACGGCCGAGGACCTCCACGACACGTCGACTCTGGGGCCCGAGGAAGTGAAGGGAATGGAGAACAGCCTCAGGAAGGGGGAACGCCGCTGGAGGAGCGTCATCGAGAGAGAATGCCCAGGGTGGAACCACTGAGGCTGGTCACTATACGGTGGAGAAGGACATCGTGTTGGGGAAGTGGTGCCATGAAGAAGAAATGTGGGACTATCTCAGGACGCCTGGCTTTCAGAAGGGCTTCATCAATGAGGCCGTCTTGAAGATCATCTCCACTCCACCGCGGCGTACGGCCGCAAAAGACTCCTGGGAACACCTGGTGGACCATGATGGAGGCCGGAAGATTGCCATCAGGGTGCACCACCAGGATCGGAAGAAACTTTATGATTTCGAGTCCAAGATCCTCCTGGAAGAAGAATGGGGGCCTTGGAGGATGACTGTGGCGTGGCCTGCGGTGGTGAAGAGGAAGGTGATCCTAGTGGATGAGCGGAATGGGAAGAAAGGGTGTCGCTTAGACACCTGGTGGGGATACACCTTGTTCAGGACCCCGTGAAGGAGATGGAAGGGCTTGAGCGTGGCGGAAGTTTTTGAGCTTTTGGTGGCACCTCTTTCGACCGAAGCGATCGAGGGGGAGTGCAGGTGCACCAAACTAGGTTTGAGGTACATGAGAAGTGTACCAAGTTTGTTAGGCTTCGGTGCACAAATCGAGTGTGTACCATGTCGGATCGCATACTTTACCGGAGCCCTTTTTTAGAGCAGAAAAAGTCCGTTGCTGGACACACGGTATCAACCACACTGCTCTGGACGAGCCATCCTTAGAGGTCATCTTAAGCCCCCGGTCCTGGCCTCCGCGGCTGAAGTGATGAAGCCGTGGCCGGGCAGCGGTGCTAGAAACGCTGCGGGGTTGCAAAGGCACAGTTCTCAACCCATCTCAACCCAAAAGAAAAGGCCTCACCGTCAGCCCATCAGCACAAATGAGTCACCTACAGTAGGGGGAAGACAATCTCCTGCACGGCAAGTATAAAATTAGGAGGACAAATGCAAGGACACCTCTGCACCAAGCCAAGCAAAAGTTAAAAGAGGTTAAAATACCTCCAAAATCCTCCGAACATTCTGGGCAAGTATTTTGTCCAACGCTCTGAATTGATGCCGCATTTCCCTCCAAAACTCCTCTTAGCTAGATCCAAAAACCTGAAAGGGAAAACGCATGAGTCTCTTGGCCGAGCCTCAAGGGGCCTCTTGGCCTGATCACGCCGGCGCCCTGTCTTAGCCGCCGGTGAGCCTGTCGACAGGGCCCGAAAATGAAGACTGCACCACTGAGACAAACATAAGCCATGACTGAACAATGCTAGAATGATGGGTGAAACCTGGGAAATGGCATGACATGACATGAAGCACTTCGGGTTTTTGATTGGCTGCCGGAGTGCTGGCAAGGCAGGAAGGAGTTTCACAAGACCTGGCCTGGATCACTTGGAATGGCTGCCGGCATTCCGGATGGCTGGATGGCAATGTAGAATCTATAGTAACAAGGTCATGCGGTTTCAGGTGATGAGTCATGAAACAAAAGAATGACATTTACTAGTGCTAAATAAATTTTGTATGTAACGGGCTGTTGAAATCAAATGACACCACGAATCAGTTTACAGTTTACTGCAAAATATTTAAAGCATATAGACTGTTCAAAGCTGCGAGGCAGTAAAGCAAGACTGGCAATCTCAAACTGAGCTAACCGTAGCAAACCCAAACACTTCCACACCGTGTCGTCTCGCATGGTCGGTTCTGGCCGCCAAAAGGTGCTGTTTCTCCCCAGATGCGCTCCCAACATCTTTGGCAAATCCAGGCGCCGCAAATCGAGCGAGAAAATCGAGCCCGAGGAAGTTCTCCACAAACAGAGCATCTTGAGGATTGAAGGAAGGAACTTAAAGGATGTGTTCATCTACTTCTTGTTTGGAAGTCTCATCTAAATTGAGACATTCTCTTCTTCCGCACGGTTGGCAGGACACCACGCCCCATGTGTTGTCCCGCCCAATGACCCAAATCGATGGGTCAAGTGACAAAAATTCAAAAGCAATTGAATAATTCAGAGAATCTCCGCACACTGCACGCTTGTGTCCGAACAACAACCGTCTCCAATACTCCAATTAGATGTTTGCTGGTGCGACTCAAGTTAGGGTGATTTAAAATGTCCTACACATACGGCAGAGGCCGTGGGCAAAATAGTTGGGAATGTGCGAGATCTATCTATTTATTCAGCTTGGCCCTATTCAGCTGCGACATTACTGCGCTGCCAAACCCATCACATCCAGGACCCGTTCAACGAGCTCCTGCGCTTCGCAATGGAGCTGGATAAATCACCTTCAATGAACCAAGCCTAGGAATTTTTGGCAGAACGGCCAACAAACCCGGAAGAAAGAGATAAATAACATCGTACAATCTCCATACACACTCACCTCGCAAGCTCAAGCTTATCAAGCCGTCCTTCTTATTGCCCGAGGTCGGCATATACTGCTCTCGAAGCCATGTTGCCAGGTGAGCCTGATCGATTGCACCAAGAGTTGCCTGGAGCCAACCTAGAGTTATAGAATTCTTTCACATGGTAAGGCCAGAATCCTTGATTAAAAAAATAGTCCAAAAAAAGGCAAATGGAAAAGTCAAAGTCACAAAAACAATAAAAACAAATTGAAAAGAAAAATAACTGACAAACAAAATCGAAACAGCCCGAAAACATTTAAACAAAACAACAAAAAGTCACCCACTCGAAAAAGTCCAAAAAAAAAACAAGTCGAAAAAATGTCAACAAATGTCCAAAAAACAAGTCGAAAACAAATAAATAACTTCTCAAGCCTCGCTCTTCTTTTTCTTCTCCAAGCTCGAAGGAGGAGGTACACTCGTGCTGTCAGCTATGACAGCTTC